ATTTCCCTGTTATGCGGTACTCAATGCATTCCAAATGTTTCTTCTTCCCATTTAAGTCTCCTCAAGAAAACATCAGAGAGAGACTTGAAAGGTAATGCATTTCTTTTTAGCCATATTACATTTCCTTGCTTGAATTATTGTGTTGCTTTGTATTTGACAGTCGAATTACCTGTCATTAGTTATGACAAAGTCTTTTAATTTATGCCCTATTTTCATTCTGCTAATATTTCAGACAGATGTACAAGATTTTACGATGCTATACACCAGGTGCTGCATAAGGGAAAATGAAGTAATTAGTTTTTTTCTTCCACCTCATCTTTTGTACAACCTGTAGCTCCAAAGAGAAATATGAAATGGTATTTAGAAGTATTTTGCCTCACAATGTCCTGTACTTACTTTCTCCCTAATATGATCACAGTTTAAAAAAATAACCAGCACATGGCTGTGGTTTTCCACTTAAGAGAAGTATATTGTCCTACAAAACTCTATTTGTCAATGGGAGCATCTAGCTAGTTAGCACATATATCAGCATGCAAAAGGTTTAAACAGGGGGTCGTGGTTTGACTGACCCTGTCCCCTGAAGCTGAAAGATGGGTAGCTCCAGGTGGATTTCCGATGCAAACAACATCGAAAGCTGCAGTAACGCCTCTGCGAAATGACATATTTGATAGATTGGAAGAGAAGCTTATTGTGCAATAGGAATTAGAGCCACGAGGTGGAGAGGGGCCGGCAGGCCCTGCGGGGGGCCAGGCCCTTCTTCCCCCCCTGGCTGGGACCGCGGGGGGCTCAGCGCAGTGTTAGAACTGGACCGGGTGCCGTGGTCAAGGGCCAGGAGGGGTTTCCCCCACTGCAAGTGGGGGCAGCAGAGGACGTCAGAGCGATGGCGGTGGCCCAGCACAGCGTTGGAGCGGCCGGGGCCGAGTTGGGCCTCTGGCCAGAATATGCAGCAGCTAGAGAGCGAGAGAGAAACTCCCCAGGAGTTCTCCGGCTGCCCTCACTGCCTTCCCTCACTGCAGGGGAGGGGTGGTGAGGAGCTGGTTGGGCCCTGCAGCAGCCACGGAGTAGCCTGGGAGGGGCCAGAGCGGCAGCCATGACACTGGAGCAGTGGTGGCCCGGAGCAAGCTCCTGCGAAGAAGTGGTGGCAGCATGCAGTACACAGAGCAGAGCCGGCCTGGAGTGGCCCAGATGGTACCAGCGGCCAGCTGGAGCTGGACCGAGAGACGCGGGAGCACCCTGCAGAGAGAACTTGCAATGGAGAGAGAGAAAAGCTACACTGGAACGTCTTGGGGTAGGACTCAGCCGAACACCAAGAAAACAGCGACCCAGGGAGAGGTGGATCCTGCTTGGAGAGAGGTTCCCTCGAGAGCTTACTTCTCCAGGAAGGGACCCCCACACGGAGCACAGAAAAAGAATCAGAGTTTAAATTCCCTGTAACACGTGGTGAAGACCATGGTGAGGCAGGCTGTCCCCCTGCAGCCCATGGATGAACCCTCGGTGGGAGCCGAGCGGTTAGAGGCAGAGTACTGAGCCCCCCACACCTCACAGAAGAGAGAGAAAGAAATAAATTTTTCCAGCTACGGCGAATCGGAGCTGTAATCCTGAGAGTGAAGGAGAGACTTCTCCTCCTGGACTGATATGGGGGAGGAGGGGTGATTTTGTAAATACATAGGTCTGTCATCATAGGAGAAACTAGTTAGAATTGTTGTATATATTACTTTTTAGTTTCTATTCTGTTAGCAATAAATTTTGTTATTATTTCCCCATGCTGAGTCTGTTTTGCCTGTCTGTGAACTTCTCTCACCCTTTAGCAAATTTGTGGGGGTTTGAGAATTGGGTCCAGAGTCAAACCACGACACAGGGACATATTACTCCTCCTTGCAAAATCACAAGCTTGCCATGGGCAGAACCACAGCTCATGCACAGGGTATCCCCTTAAACATTAGGCCTACATGACGAGCTTTAAAATATCTGAAAGAACTTCATTTATCCAAAGAGCTTCTGAAAGCTATCAGAGAGTAAAATCCTCTTCATTAAACAACTATTAATTTTGGCATTATTAATTCCAGCATTACCACTATTTAATTACTAACCACTAATCTTTAAAAGCTTTGAAACTTAAATGCCATAGAGAATGACAATAAATTAATCACTGTAATGAGAAATCATGTTACCTGCATTTTTTTCCTTGATTAAACAACTACTTTAAGGAAACAAAGTTTGAAATTTAACATCTATAGTCCAATTTTCACCTAAAATCACTGAAGTTCCTTGGCACTTTCTATTAACAAATCAGTCATTTCCTTCTACTTTCCAAATAGTCAATACTCATTGAAATTCACTAGATGAATTAGAAACAAGACACACATAAAAATGGAATTAAATATGTTAACATACAAACCCTTTATTTATGAAATAAAGGCAGGAAACTACAAGTAGACTGACACGTTCAGCCAAGAGGAAAGTACAGCTCTATCTCCAACTTTAAAATGTGAAATATGACAAAAAATTCCCTGAGCAGTAGTTTGATTTGAAGCTAATCAGTACAGGAGCACCACTCAAAATAACTTATCTCACTAATCTAACCTAAGTTGTTCATCTGACAAAGGTGAGTTTAACAATGTCAAAAGGAGCAATATAGCAGAAGCATCATTTACTACAGGAGATTTCTTGACTTATCATAAAACAGTGGATAGAAAATCCAACTCCAGCATATTCAAAGCTGGTTAGTATTTGTGCAGAATCACATATATTATACCCTAACCTATCTCATATGGAATTGTTTTCAGATAATGATGCTTAATTGATGGCCTGGAAGGTAACAAAGCACAGGTAGTCCTAACACTGAGGCAAATTTTGGTGGGAAAAAAAAAAGGAGACTGTCAGTGATTCAAAAGATACACTCCTACAAAAAGTCTTCCCAATTCAGTTTATACTATTTTCCAGCTCTTATATTCTATATATTTAAGATTGGGTCTTGCATCTAACTGTTGCTAGCATTTTTCCTGTAACTTTTCCACTTCTTATACTAATGTACACACAACAATGTTCCTATGTTTTGGTAATGCTCACAAATAGCCTTAGAATAAGGTTATATCCTCAGTTTTATCTGATTTTTCCTAATTAATTTTCTTTGTGAAAACATCTAAGACTCCAAATGTAATTTTGAAAACAGAACAAAACCAAACAAACAAAAAAACCTGACAAAACCCAAAAAACCCCAAACAATCAGTAACTGGTCAAACACTCTTATCAAGTAAATAGAAAAATAAATAGGGAAAACAGAGAATCAGTCTGTTTTCTACCACCTCTCCCCCAAAAAGAGCTGTTTGACAGTTTAACAGTGTCTATGCAGACTATTAGATTGATAGGTAAGTTAGGCGTTACACACAGTCTGAACAGTATTCACCGCAAAGTACCAACTGGAACTGCAGACCTGCTGGCAAAGCTCTGCAATGTCACTGTACAAAGCTGAGGCAGTAAGACAGCTTCAGGTTTTCAGTGCAACATCCATCTGTAAAGAACTGATTTTCTTTACAGAGTGATTGGAGGAACTACAGACCACTGATCCTGACTTCCCTTTCCGGCAATCACTAAAGACTCTGTAATACAGTGTAAAGTCACTGGCTACACTGACAAATATGATCTATCGGAAGGATGCAGCATAACTTCTGCAGACGGAAATCCTGGCTTAGAGACCTTATGAAGGGCTAGGAGGGTATCAGCAAGCACACAGCCAAGGGGAACCAGCAGGCAAAAATTATTTAGATTTTCAGAAAGGCACTAACAGACTTCCACAGCAAAGTGAGTTAGAAAAGCTGAGCAGCTATTAGATAAAGCCTTTTGTTAAGAGTAGTACTGGTTTCATTCAAGGCCTTCATCAATGACTTGCAGAGGGCAGTACACTGTGCAGTCTGCATCTGCAGACAATATTAAGATTTTCTGAGTAGTGGTGCAACTCCTGAAGACTTTGTCAAATCAAATGGGTGTGATGATTTTCATAGCTGATAACTGTAAGGTAATGTAGCTATAGAAATTAATCCAAGCCATGCCTGCTGTGGTGGTTTGCAAAACCTTTTCTCTGAGGTAGTAATGGTTTGCTCCACTGATAATACTGGATCAATCAAAAGTCCACGTGCGCCCTACGGAAATTACATACCCACAGAAACGGAAGAGAAGGTGGTGAAGATAGTTTAGAAGGTAGGTAGCCATGATCTGAGCCAAGAGGAAGCAGGGGGCCATTGAGTCCCTCTGGGGGCCAAGGGCCCCCAGCTGAGACTATGGGAGACCCGGTATAGTGTCACAGCTGGACCGGGTCCCCTAATCAAGAGCTGGAAGAGTTTCCTTACTGTCAGCAGCAGCAGAAGACATTGAAAGTGGCAGCGGAGCAGTCCTGAACAGAGACAATGCTGGCTAAAAGCCAAAAAGATAGCCAGTAGCAGTGAGATAACATGAAGCCAGCCGAGAGACACAGAGATGTTCCTGCAGGAGGGAGAGCTGGCAACAAAACAGAGGAAAACTCAACAGGGCTGTTTTGGGGTAAGACTGTATCACTTTCCCAAAACCCAGAGACCTCCTGAAGAGGAGGGGTGGACTTCCAAACCCAAAATGCAGCAGCAGCTATAGAGAGAGAGAGAGAGAGAAAGGAGCTGAAAAACTCAGAGTCGTCCTGAGAGCTGAACCAGGATGGAATGCGGAGGAGGTGGCCCTGCCCTCTGCTGCTGCTGCTGCTGCTACCATGCTGGCAAGCTGAGACAGAGCAGAGGAGCTCTGGTAAGACTGAACTGAAAGCTGCCTTAAATGCTCTAACCCAAGAGAAGTGAAGGTCTCCAAGGAAAATCCCACGAAGGCTCGGGCTCGGGGTTGGAATTTCCGCAAAGTAAGAACAAAAATCCTGACTGCCATACTTAAATCTGCTGCCTTAGAAAAATGAAAGACACTAACCAGTGCCACAAAAAACTGAAATGAAGGAACTGTGGCCTGAGGATTTTCTGTTTTCTTCTTAGACTTTTATTGAAGAAAAAGAGGAATTTAATTTAATGTAAGCATATATATGTATGTAAATAAACCTTTGTAAATATTTTCCCGTTCCCCCAATACTGAATAGTTGTGTTTTGTCTGAAAACTCTCCACATGAGGTGAGGAAGATATCAAGTTCACGCCATCACTAAACCCTCTCACAGGGGCAAATTGTGGGAGGCGGCTTGAACTTAGAAATTGGATTCTTGGGAGTTTCAAACCACCACACCTACATAACCATGAACTCAGATCTAAGAGCAAAATGAAGGAAAGGAATCTAGGAGTCATTAGTGATGTTTCTCTGAAGTTATCAGCGCACTGAAAAATAATGGGTGAAATAAGCCAATAAAATGCTGAAAATTATTTAGGAATAATTTTGAGAATGTAGTGTCATCTTGACCCTGTAGAAACCTCTAATTATTGTTTCTCTGCAGCCTGCTGTTTGCCTCAGATTTGCTGCATAAATTTAAAGCAACAGCTGTTTTATAATAAATAATGAACCATGTCCATGTTAAGTTCTTTAGGCTGACTCCACAAATGAAATAATAAGTTCAAAATTCATATTCATCACAGCAGTAAAATGAATGTGAGCTCTCAAACATTTAGCCAATCTGAAGAATGCTTCTACTGCTTCCTTTAAAGTAACTTCCTTATTAATACTACACAGTTTTACATAAAAAAATAAGGAGGGGAGGTGAAATTGTCATATTTTTGGTAATGGATATTTTAACTAATATAAAACTGCAAGTATTACAGTATAAGATGGCTTCAGGGAAAAATAACTGTGACTTGATATAACATGCCCAAAGAAATAATTTCTATTAGTAAAATGATGAAGTCAAATATCGTAACTGCTATCCAATTTTCTGAAATATCTAAAATGTCATTTAAGGAAAGAACTACTGCGATAAGTGAGATGACTGGTAATATTCTGAGAAGAAAGAGATAAAACCCTGTGCATAGGGAAAAAGACCATCAAAAATAGTGCATAAGTTATTACCAGAAGAAAGAAGTGAAAAAGGGACTCTCACTAACAATCAATATAATAAATAACATTCATTACTTTTATGTTACAGTCATCTTATTACTATTTCATTTTACACAGATTTCTAGAGATAAATGTTAAAATTATTGTATAAAATGGATGACACGGAGACAGATTTGAAGAGGAAAAAGATATACGATACATACACGCACAAAAATATATATATACACACACAAACTTATATATCACATTCATACTGAAATATTTTATGGGAAATTTTTTTTAAATTTGCATCCAGAAGTTAGAGCACTTCCCCCCCCAAACTAAATATTTCTCATATCATTTAATATCATCTCAACCTGACACTGACATTACCTTTATCATATTCCAGCACACCACTTATGTAACAGTCCCATACTATTTAAAGAACACAAGAGTATCTAAACAGACAGACTCCTGAAAAGATTTGCAAACACTCTAAAATTGTATTTATTTTCTGTACTTTCATATAAATGCATCTGTAGAGAATGAGGGCACAAATTACCAAAACTAGTTGAGTTCTAAACTTTACCATTAATATATTATATCCCTTTCGTTATTGTTTTCTAAATAGTCTTAATCGACACCAGAACCTGCCTTCTCATTCTATGAGTAATAATTTACTTCAGTTTCTCCATGTGACAAAAGTTATTGTTGCACAATCTGTGGTAATCCAAGTCAACTAAAAACTACCAAGAAATTTTCCCCTATCCTTATACTCAAAGAATCCTTCAAAAATTCTAGTGGACTGTATCCACAGCTTATTTTACAAATGCTACACTTTTCCCCCCTGATTTATTTTTTTTCATCATGCAAAGTTCTAAAGAATACCATTTAAAATCTCTTACTCTAATAGTCATAGATTTCTGTAAGCAGATTCCCTGAACTTTGCTGTTTCCCACCTCAGTTCTTGGTGGGGGTTAGAACTCCCTTGCTGGAATTTCATTCCTTGGAATTTGTGAGAATTAATGATAATGACTATCAAAGCTGAAATTGAAAGTTGACCAGCCTTTGGGACAGTGAAGAATGTTTATTTCTTCATGGGTGCAATAATTAGCAGCACAGCGAATTCTTTTTTAGAATCACAAGACTCAATTTCTTGCCCAGAGCTACATGCAGGAATGAATATGAATATTAGGTTGTGCTGATGGCCATTATTTACCTATATATGCTAGTTCTTCACATGTGCCTCTGTGTAGTGTTTTGCACAGCATAATTTGTCTTTTATATTTGGAAAGTCAAGAGTTCTCTCTCACTCAGAAAAGGAAAGCTCAGTCAAGCTGGAGAGTGATGGACAATGCTCTCTCACCTAACTCCCAGCTCCTTCTCTGGTTAGGAAAGGATATTCGCAGTTCACTTTACAATCTTCTAAATGCACTTTATTCATGAAGTATCCCTCTGTCACGAAACTATTTTTCAGGGCTTTTAATTCCTTCTTTTTTTCTCCCAATTAATTTTAAAAATACACTTCCTACTGCCTACCAGCATTACTGAAGCTTGGCTACATTCTTAGGGGGATGTGAAGAGACTGTAAATTAGCCTGTTCTTTCACTACTCTTTATTCACTGAGTCAGTGCCAGAGCACTATGTATTCTGCCAGCAAGAGTGGCTAGAATTCTAGGCTGTAGAATCCACATGAGACAAAAAAAAAAAAAAAGAGGCCTCTCAAGAAAATAACTTAGGCTGTTCCCAGAGCTGGAGAGACAATGAAAAGCAGACCACTTGAGAAGAGTCATGGCTTAGATATCCAACTGGGCTCCTCAGTAGAAAGAGAATAAAAAAAAATTCAGCTATAAAAAAGATCATAAAACATTTAATAAAAATATAATATAAAAAAAATGAAAAATAATTCATTGCTCTTTCTCAAGTAATATAGCACAATATAACAGGATCCCCTACAAGAAGAATATTGGCAGTAATATTTCAGTTCTACTACCCTGATCAACTGCACATTACATAGTCTCCTAAACTATTGATAATTCTTTTCAATATCACTAACTGCAAGTATCTACAGAAAAGAAGTTGCACAAATCCAGTTTTATTTGTTCTTAACACAATTGTGGAGATAGATTTGCAATTCTAAGCACAAAAAAATTACCAAATAATTCTTCCGCAGTGGTGCTCATTTGCATAATTAAAAGCTGGCAACTCTTCATTCAGTGTTCATTTCCTTTACCTACTTGTAATATTCAGTTTTCCCAGCGTACATAATTAAAAAGGCAAATTTACAACTTATAAATAAATAATACTAATCATCATCTAGTGTAAAATAAATCTATTACTACTGAATTTTCTGTTCTTTTGCACTGCAGTTAGCTGCATCCCCATCTACATAGAAGCACCAAGAATAGTTCTGAGGGGAGTTTAGAAGGTGAAGGGTATATATTTTCCTGTTATCCATGACACAAATGCAAAGTAGTTCTGCTCCCGATTTGTGCTAATCAACTAGTGTAAGTACACTGAACAACATGTACAATGTACAATGTACAAGCAGACAACCACATGATTACCCGGACCTTTTCAGTATCTCTCCTAAGGAAAAATCTCTCTTCAAAAAGAGACAGAATGCATTCCAGACCCCTCCACACACAAAAAACCACCAAATGTAGTCCCATCTAGCTCAGCAGTGCAATTCAGTCATTTCAATGAGTTCTCAGATTGGCAGCCTATTTATTGAAAGTTTTCTCTATTACGGTAACAAAAGATAAGCACCTTGACATGATATCAGGAGAAAATTCTTTACAGAGAGAGTAATCAGGCATTGGAATGGGCTGCCCAGAGAGGTGGTGGATTCACCATCCCTGGAGATTTTTAAACGCAGATTGGACGTGGCACTGAGTGCTATGATCTAGTAAATGGACTGGATTTGGACCAAGGGTTGGACTCGATGATCTCGGAGGTCTTTTCCAACCCAATCGATCGATTCTATGATTCTATTCTATAAATCAGTTTCAAGTTGGGATGTACTGCCCTCTGGAAGTCACTCACTGTCCAGTGACAAAATATGAACCATAGAGAGAAACTAAGCTTCTATCAGCACATCATTCTGTGACAAATGACTGAAATTGTTGTAGTAATGAAGTAGAATACTGGAACAAACCAAAACAGCAGAAAAAAGGCATTAGTAGCCCTAATATACCTCCAAACGTGTTTCGTAAAAAAGAGTTTCCCGAGTACTGAAGGAAAATACAAACATAATTTGTACTAAAATATATGTTTACATTTAAGTATACTATATGCATAATATATTGTACAGAGCAAATGTATAGAAACAATATATAGATTATAGGAATAAATGAGTAAAAAACACTGCAATGTGGTTATGACTTTGAATTCATATTTAGAAACTTACCACCTGATTTTCATTTGAATAATATCTCAGATCTTTAAATTTCCATCCTTTACAAACCTTTTATAGAGGGATAAAGTAACTTAAGGTAAAGCGAAAAGGCAAGGTTGCTTTCCCATCACCGTCCCACTTCCTTGCAGCCATCATAATTGCAGGCTTTGAGACTCACTGACAGCAACACCAGAATAGGTTCCCATGGGCTCTTACAAGTCTGGGTATTTTGTTTGGTTTTTGTTGTTTGGTTTTTTTTTCCTAAACCTATCTAAATCTACTTATTTTCACACTTTTCTAGGAATCTCTAAAGAATAGATGGTCACAACCCTCTAAAACTTTATCAAATGGTCTTTCTCAGATTTTTGTAACTGACATCTTCCTACCATGAGTATCTTTTGCTTTCCCTCCAACTGTATTGCATTCTGAGTATTCCTCCTTCTATGTTTCATTTTTTTTCACTCTATACAAACTTTTAAACTCCTGCTTTAAGTTTTCAATTTTATTATTTGCAGCTCTCATTGACTGAAGGTGTCTTGCAGCTGTGACTCATTCAAACATATTTTGAAAACATGCTCATTTTGAATCACCAATCAGTCAACCCAATATTAATTGAACACTGAAGGCTTTTGGCACCCTGACTACATGGTAAGTTTTCCTGTTTTGAGGGATGTGACCTTATCAGTTTCTTAACAATGGCAACATGATTAAAATCAATAAGTCTTCTTCTAGTAAATGTGTACTTGGTGGAAATTGACATTTTTTTAGCAGGTCAGGAGTTTTACTTTCCAAAACCAGAAGAAAGCCCACAGAAATGCAGCACTGTAATTCACCAACAGAAATGTGTCAACTGCTGCAGCTCAAAGGGTGGGGAAAAGGAAAAAAAAGGAAAAAAGGAAAAAAAATCAATTCTAGACAAGGCATTTTACTAGTAAAAGCATCCTAAAGCACATCAGCAAATGAAACTTAAAAACAGAGGTTTATCCAAAAGTCTTTCTATTAACTTCTGCAAGATTTTCGTTAGACACCTGAATAGAAGCCAAAATGCTGAGGTTTTCCTGATAAGATGACAAATACTTGGTTCCTAGATTTTGAGCAATGACAACAGAATTATATTACTGCAACTGAAAAAAAGCAGGGATGAGCTGTAATTTGTTAGTCTGCTGTTATGGAGTCTCCTTGTCTCATCTTTGTAGAGCTAAAGAATAATGCCTGAACATAAGAAAACTAAATAGAAAACTAAATCAAAACCAGATACCCTTCATTGTAAGCTACATATATACTGTTGATCAAATAAAAGAATGAGAATCATAAAATGAAATATGATTCATAGGAGTCAGACTGAAAGTTGTTATATGTACTACATTTTCCATAATCTTTTCTATAGACGTTTCATGATTCTTTCCTTGTGTACATGATGTCATGACCTAGAACTCAATTCAGAATATAATTTTAAAATCGTGTAACTATTTTATAATTTCCTCCCTTAGGTAAAGGTGGAGGAAAGGTGGAATTGATCGGGGAAATATAAACTGCAATCTGCTTTCTAGGTGCAAGCAATCAGATCTTATATTTCTTGCCTAAGCAAAGTGAACAGAAAGTTTTTCTAGTCCAGGAAATTAATATTTATATATATACATATACATACGTGTTAATATACAAAGAAATAAGCATAAATTTAATTTAAAAACCTCTATTACGTAAGCTAAAGTCTTCATGAACATAACTGAAAAAAATCATAAGCGTCTTGTCTGAAATGAGATTGAAAGCATAAAATCATTAATTATGATACAGAAGAGACAAAGTATTTAAGAAATAGCAGCATGACATATCTATTAAAATGGTAAAAGGATATTAATCTCAGAAGTTATTGCAAAGGTGTTTGACACTTTCCTGTAGAGTGAAATTTAAAAGTTTTAATGGGCATTGATACTATTAAGGAAACTGTGTGAGAAACTTCAGAACATTAATATAGATTCTGAATAATTCTGATAATTCAGACAGGAAAGACTGACAATTCTGAAAGGACAGGGTCAAAAAAGCCTAAAGTTTGCATAAATAAAAGAGCAAATTAGCACAAGAGATGAGCAGATTACACTGACATTAATGAGACAAAATTGTGGGAAAGCAGCTGTCAGAGTAATCATGAAATCATTAAAGTGTAATATAACATAAATACATAATTTGTTACAACAAGCAGCTGATATTTTATTCTGATGAGATTTAATTCATCATTTATAAACTTAATTAAACTTACATACATTTTGGCTCTCCCACAGCTACATATTCAGCAGCAGGTCCAAAGGAAATGCTGCAGTCCCACAAAAACTTAGAAATGCAGCTCGTGTTACTATCCTACATCATGCTAGCAGTGAACAGCCCCAGATTATCCATTACCCATGCCTTGGGTCCAGCTCGAGGCGCCTTCCTCTCCCTCTCACTAAAGGGGACACAGCAGGTAAACCTTGGCTTTGATTTCCAAGGTCAGTGGGAAAACTATTTGCATTACAGCACCTAACTGGAGGGCAGACGTGTCACATATGACATTGTCATTAAAAGAAAAGCCAGTATATTCCAATAGTTGATCCACTGATTTCACAACTAGTACTAATCATACTTACAGCACCTATACCGAGCACAAATTTCCCTTCTGCTTTTCATGTTCACTTGCTAAAGAATGAACAAACAGTAGGCTGAATTCACACTCTGATAAACAAAACTCCTGTCAGACATTTACAGACAGGCTATTCTAGCAACCCCAGAAATAAACTTAGAACCACAGAAACAAATTATCAAATAATATTTATAATTTCCCTAACTTATCACTTACGAATTTCTATGGGTAATGCAGAAAGGATATGAAGTATCCCAATTCTGTGTAAGAATTATTCTCTTTCTTTCTTTTGACAATGAAAGTCTATATTCAAAGTACCGTAAACGTCTGACGTGGTATTCAGAAACAGAATTTTATCTGTTTTATTCAGCCTGTGATTAGGCTATTCCTTTCTTAAATCAAAGTTCTCATAAAGAACAGATATGGAACAAAGAAAAAACATGTTATAAACTATATTGCATGTTAGGAAATAAAAGGGTCAGACACTATATTTTGGACTAGACTAACAAAACACCAAATTACACAAAACTGCTTCATCTGAAGCCTCCTCTAAGATTAAAACTTTGAAAAAAACTGTATATAAATACAAGGTCGGAAATAGGTGTCACAACTGACAGAACTGAAAGGAAAGCTTAAAATTCACAAAATCATATTAAAATTGATTATTTAATATCAGTCCTTAGTTACTGAGGCAAGTATGAAGCATAAGTAAGAATATGATTATAAGAGATTTGCTTCCACACACAACGTTCAACAACCTTCATTAATCATACCCACAAATATTATTGTTTGCATATTCTTCCTCACTAACAAAAAAGCTTTAAAATTTAAAAAATTAATAAGATAGGTTACCTCTGAAACTTATATCATAAAAAACTAAAACTACAACACCCTAATGAAGACTCTGCCATTTTTTTGACCACAAATGCCCTTACTTCACTTTGTCCTTATCTAGCACCCCAAATGTTAGGTTTTCTGATTACAGAATTCAGCTCCAGATATTACCTCAAGTCACACTTGCAATGAGCTGAACATTAAATCCCACACAGAAAATTTTAAGTCAAATCCTGGATTAATTTTTTCTTCACTTGAGTTATATCAGAGTGAAAGTTCACAAGTAGAAGTAAATAGTAAATCATGAAAATGAGGTTTCTGATGGTAAATCATAGAAGCAGAGCTAATCAGTAATAAGTATCAGCAACCTAAGTAATTTTAAAATTGGTATATGGGGTATAAACCAGGAATATTCTTCAAACTTAAGCACACATGCTATCAAAAATAAAGTTGATTGTATGGTAGCAATCATGTCAGAAATTATTTACTGGTAACTCCTGTGTTTTGTATAAGAATGATATGAGATTCACAGTATGGCTAGTAATTCAGCAGAAAAATCTGGTGGAAGACATTCACAAGGTATATTAGAATAACAAAAAAATAATAATTATCAGTTCAAATACGTCAACATTTCCTGTATTGTCCTCATTCAAATATAAAAAATATAAAAGAAATGACCTGCTTTTTCTGTTTGTTTATTTGTTTGCTTTTTCTATGTGAATCTGTGAATCCTACTGAATCTATTCTCAGAATCCTGCACGTTTTCCACAAATCCTTAGTTTTTCCTCTTGGCTCTTCCAAGAAATTCTGTATAACTCATGCTCTAACTAATTTCACATATCACAGTTATGTTCAACCTCCCAGATTTAACTTTAACTCAGTAACTTGAGCCTCAAAACCATTAATTTGAAATTCAATACTTTCATGGTGGTACAGATTGTTTTCAAAATTGTGTTACGTTTCTTCATCAAATCCTTATTGATTCGAAGCTCTTCCACTGCAGCCCCAGTAACACCTTGTAGAGCTTCCAGCCAGGAAACAAAGTTATGAGGAAAGATGGAAGCTGGCAACACTTTCTGCTGCCTCACATCTTTGTTTTAAACACGAACAGCTGTTTAAGAAACTGCTCAGAATTATAGCTTCTCCCAGACTTCTACAAGAACCTCTAACATAGAGTGTTAAGATTTTTTTAAATGCTTAGTTCCAGCTGCTCTCAGGTTTCATTAAAGGCTGGCTAAAATCTCGCACTTAATAGCACTAGCCCTTGAGCATTTAAGAACCTCCTACCAGAAGATTCGAGTACATATTCAGGGTCCAGTACAGCAAAAAGCTTCAAATTAACCTCTGCAATAAGTACATGGCAACACTTCTAATAAAAAAGCTTTTGAATCCTCTGATAAACCAGGTAGTTCAAAAAAAAAAGAAAAAACCCAACCAACCAAAGGAAAAAACCCACACACCCCCACAAAATTCCCTGAAAATCCACTTCAATATGGAAAAATATGTCATTTACTCTATCAATAAGGAATCAAATATTTCTTTTATTAAACTGTGCTATTGTCAATAGCAATACATAGCAAATAATTCTCATCCAAAGCTTTCCAAAGCAGCATATTTTTCAACCCTACTATGCAGTTCTGATATGCCTTGGAGTGACAAAATGAATCAGAACTCATATCCTGACTGCACACAAACCTCAGCATTTCTCATTATTTTTTCAGTGGTTTTTTTTGCAGGGTTTGTTTGTATGTTTGTTTTTTTCTGAATGCATTGAGGAAGCCATCATCAGACAGGACATGTTTTCTAAATCGTCCTGAAAAAAAGGAACCATCTTCATAAAAAGAAACCATAAGTCACAGACCAGACTAGGTGTTATTAGGTGAAAGACCCAGACCAGTATATTGTACTGGCAGAAAAACAATCACAGAAACATCCAACAGCACATTGGATATCCAAGAGATTCTAAGAAGTTTAGTGCACAGATTATGTTTCTAAGGATGTCTATTTACATACACTTCTTCCTTCACCCCCATGGTTTACATAGGAACTCAGCTTCTATCAGCTTTCAGCTGGCATCATTCTCAGTACATGCTAGAACTCCAGTAATGCAATGAATATGGCCATTAGAAATGTAAAACATTTCTATATGTGTAATAGTAACATGTCTGAACTGGGCAAGTGAATAGAGTTTATATTGCCC